CAAGAAATTGTCTTCCAGTCATTAAGAAAAGCTAGCCTCACTGTTGACTTCCTAATATGGTCTGCTCCATTAGACTGCTGAAGTCTTCCCAGTGTGATATACTACATCTCTGAAAAGGAAAGCTCTATCTATATTCACAGGGATTGCCCCTCACTTACTGTAGAATCAGATGCCTTTGTTTTAATCAGTCTGTTTGGCATTACAGTCCAAGAGTTGGGCACTTGCTCCTTACGTTCCTAGATATTTGATCAACAAAAAAACTGTGCACTCTCAAACAACTGGAAGAAATCTCATACAATCCTTATAAACTGCTGAGGCAGATTACCAGAAAGTGCCAGTCTTATCAATGTTCCTCCCCTGCTTTGACTCTTTTCTGATCCTGTTATTCTGGAAAAAAAAGACTCATTAAAGCATTGGATCCTGAAGCATTGGATTCAGTGCTGGTTAGTATCTCCCATTCTTTTCCCTCGTAGTACTGTTTGACATGTGCAGTGATTTGCCATTCATTTTTACTATATATGGATCTGATTTATTTGAAAAGCTACAGTACTTTTAGCATTCTTGAGAAGATGACTAAGCATGTGGCATCTTGCTTGAAATGCCACCTTTTGTATCATGGCCAAGGAATCTTGAGGAAACTTTCATTTATTTCCTTCCCTAATTTCTAGAATTCTGGAGTAAATTGTCTTTCACGTGGGGACAATCTTATCTGGCTTCTGAAACATCACACTTGAATGAGGAATATGGACTAAAACTTAGGCAGGACTCTTCTGTACGTGTATATACAGGGAAGATGTATATCTAGGCAGAAAATGTGATGCAGATCATCTCTTTTGCAAAAACAAAACAGCAATGTTTCTAATGTCCTAATCTGGAGCTGGTTTAAATTCTTCCACCTGCCTACATCATTTTCATAATTACCATGACTGGAAAAAGCATATATGTATCCATATATTTCTCCATGTGGGACTAATAATTATTTTAAAGGGAGAGTGGGGTTTGTAGGGGGAAGGGCTAAAATCTTCCTCCATATAGAAAATTGTTCTGAAATGTCTACCTCCTTCATGGTCAGGGTGGCTTTTAGTAAAGAACAGTCGAATTTCCAGTTGTGGAGTCCAATGCCACACCTCCTAGGTCTCTTTTAGCTCTTAAAAGAGCCTGTTTTAGACACTCTTTTGATCCATAGTAAAATATTGTGAAGCTGAAGTGCCTACATCTAAAATAGATATTTCACTTTACATTTTGAATATGCATTCTCCCTCTCTCTCTCCCTCTCTTTCCCTCTCTCTCTCTCTCTCCCTCTCTCTCTCATAAGGCAGCTGAAGATATTAAGATGCAGCCTTCTTTCACACACACTGAATTTACAAACTGCAAGGATTTCAAAAGAGTCGCGTGTTCTTTCCTGTCAATAAACTATGCACGAAAGAGTCCCAGAGAAATGAAGAATCGTTACGTATCCTTTCTGACCATCTAGATTTATTTTTGGTGATGGAAAGACAGACATCACATTAATAAACCTCCCTAGAGCAAAAGACATAAGCAAAGCAAGAGAATCGTTTTATTTATTGGAATGTTTAGAAATTATAATTAAAAATAACAGGGAAGGTCATGAACTTAAGCTAACCAACACGATTACATCATTGTTTTCTAAACATCACGTCTTATTCACTTTTTTTCTGAATTGGAGTCATACTTCACTCTTGTTCAGGGAGAGGAATATATATATGAATATGTATAAACTATGATTTACTGTTTCCCAAGGGCATCTCCCCCCTGTGTTTCTCTGTAAGTTCCTGATCTGGATATGCCCACTGATTGGATAAAGGCATGCCCAAAGAAATTATTCTCAGGAAAAGCCAAAAAGAGATCATCTCTGAGGATGAATAATTGTCCTACATGCCTACATTGCCAATGTTTTGAATTATTCATCATGTTTGATGTGATATTGCCCAGAAACTGATTAGAAGGCAGAGTCATGAATTGTATAAGGCTGCACTGGATAAATCTCCCTTGTGTGTGTGTGGGGGGGCACATTTTAGGTTCATGCCTAAATTTACTACTTGAACCAAGTTAGCATGTTCTGACACATATTTTAGAATTAATTAGTTTCTCTTTTTTAATGACTGCTTTAGAATTGGTTCTAATTTATCACTAAGAAAAAGTATAAAAATCATCAACCTCACCTGAAGAACAATCCTAAGTGCTACTGATTGAAAGAAGTGTGAATCGCCGAATTCTTTAAAAGACCTATAGGTAGCCCTCGTATAGTGGCCATAACTGGGACTAGCAATTCAGTTGTAAAGTGAAGCAGTTACTAAGTGAAACCTTGCTTATGATCTTACTTCAGCTTTCCTTTGCTTTACAGACCTGGAAAGATCAGAAATGCAAGGACTGATTACAAAGCTACTTTTGCATCGCCATCATAATGGTGATGAAAACGGTTGCTATATGAGACAGTTGTTATAACCTTTACTGGTTTTTGCAAACCAAGGCAGGAAGCAGGGGTAGTTTTAACTCCTACTAAGGGTAGATGTTTATTTCTCAAATTCAGTTCACTTTGAAACTAAGAGGAACACTGCAACATTGTATGCGTGTCAAATATAAGTGGGGCATGATTTTCTTGCCAATAGGGCTGCTTTCTCCTTTGCAGAAAAAAAAGGACTAATATTGACCATATATACCAATATGTGGTGTCTTACATGAGATTGGTTTATTTTGGTAGCAGAAACTGACGCAAGAAGGGAAGGCACCTCACTTTTCTTGTCATCTATTAGGTACTCTATCTGACTTATTGGGGGGGGGGAAAGGAATAAATTAATTTTAAAAAGTAGTAGGGAGCTGCTATGCAGCAAAACAAAGCCCTAGCACTGCTTGATAAAAATGCATTTTCAAATAAACACCACAGGCCTTTTTGGAAGTTAAAAACAGTGGACAGCTGCAGTTTGTTTAGAAATATGTCCACCTGCGAGAGCACTGAGGGAGGTAACCCAGGTGACAGCAAACAGTGCAGGAAGGAAATAGGCTTGACGGGGTGGTGGGAGCAACATCACACGCTCCAGGAGTTTTGTGACTAGCCATGCTCCCAAGGCAGCCATTTTGTGAGAGTACAGGTAGTCCTCGACTTACAACAGTTCATTTAGTGACCATTCGAAATTACAATAACAGTAAAAAAAAGCGACTTATAACCATTTTTCACACTTAAGACCATTGTGGCATCTCCATGGTCACATGATAAGAATATGGATGCTTGGTAGCTGACTCATATTTATGACGGTTGCAGTATTCCGGGGTCATGTGATCCCCTTTGGTGACCTTCTGACAGGCAAAGTCAATGGGGAAGTCAGATTTACTTAACAGCCGTGTTACTCACCTAACAACTGCAGTGATTCACTTAACAATTGTGGCAGGAAAGATGGTAAAATGGGGCAAAACTCCCTTAACAAACATCTCACTTAAGCCATAGAAATGTTGGGCTCGATTGTGGTCGTAAGTCAAGGACTACCTGTATCCATCAAGATTCTCAGTCTTCCAGGTCCTGGAAAGTGCTTTTTCTTGTTTTTCTTTGAAAGACATTTCGCTTCTCATCCAAGAAGTTTCTTCAGCTCTGAGTGGATGGTGGTGAATGGAAGGATTTATACTGAGGGTGAAGGTTCGTTCTCTGAGCTTGTGGGCTGGTTTCTGAATGTTTCGTTACCAGGCTAGCTAACATCTTCAGCGGCGTTTAGGGGATGTCTGTGTCTGTGCTCTTCTATTTATAAGGGCTTCGGGTGTGGGTGTGTGAAATGAGCTTCTTGTGAGGAGTTATCAGAGAGAAGCTTGTGATGGGTCTTGTGATGGGGAGGTTACATCAGGTCAGGGTCATTGGAAGGTGAACTGCTGGGAGGGCTTGAGTGGGGTGGTTGAGGGTTGGTGGGCTGTGCGATTGATCTGGATTCTGAGGGGTTTGTAGGCTGGTTGTAGATCAGTGTGTCTGTTGATGGAATTGTTTGTGGAAGGCCAGGATTCGATAAACTCAGGAGCATGGTGGTTGGTAGTGTGGCTGATGATTGTACTGTTGCTCCAATCAAACTGGTGTTGTTTAGTGTCGGTCTGGGTAGCAATTAAGGATTTGGGATCGTGGCATTGACTGCTAGCCGGTGTTCGTGGATCCTGGTATTTAATTGATGTTTGTCCCTTGTAGAATTGGTTGCAATGGTTACAGCCGATTTTGCAGATAACATTGTTTCTTTCACCCTTCTGTGTCTTGTCTTTGGGTCTGGATTTATATTCCTTGCAGACAGCTGGCCATTTGCATTGTTTTAGGCCACTTGGAGGTTTATCTGTGCCCTCAGGGTCACCCGAGTGGCGCAAATCGGTGTGGAGCCTTCTGAGACCTGAAACCTCTTGAAAAAGCACCTTTGAGAGGTATCCATCGTGGCACCCAATCAAAATGGTTCCCCTACTTCCAAAAGGGGCGCTCAGAGAAGCAGGCAGGCTGGGTCGGAGAAACCCGGACAGCTGATAGGCTATGCGGCCAAGGCATTAGGCTTCCAAAGTTATCACCCTTTTAAGCGCCTCCTCCTCCTCCGCTTTGCCAATCTCCAGCCTCGAGGTCACTTCACGTGCTCTGGCCGGGGGGCTTTTCGAGGGGGAAAATCTATTTTTTTTTCACCCGCGCGAAATTCTTCTTCCTCCGCGCCCCGGCGGCGTCCCAAGAAGCCAGCGCCAGGCGAGGGAGACACCCACCCACTCCGCCAAGTAGAGCAACTGGGCGCGCAGGCAAAAAGCTGGGACTCTTCCCCACCTTCTTCCAGAGGGAAACAGCGGCGGCAACCACCTCACGCTCGGGGCTTCCCGCTCCGCCATTCCGCCAGAACCCTCTGCATGCGGCTGAGGCAGCTGGTGGTAGCCAAAGGGCGCCAGCCCCGCTGCTTGCCCTCCCTCCCTCCCTCCCTCGCCGCGCCTGCCCGTTTCGCGACCCCCCTCAGCCTAGACGCGCCGCGGAGAGGCGAGGCGAGGCGAGGCGAGGCGAAGAGGGCATTTCGGGCCGGCGGAGGAGACAATGAACAGCGGCAAAAGCGAGCCAGAGCTCAGCCCGGCCGAGGCGAACTTGCAAGAGGAAGAGGTACCTGCCCGCCGAAGGGGAGGCGGTGGTTTAAATTGGCTGCCTTGGGGGAAACTTTCCGAGCGCGGTGTCGCTCGCCACGGGGATACTGGGGAGCCCTCGGGGAGGGGGGGGAAGTTTCGGGGCGTAAGAAGCGTCCCTTCTGAGCGGGAGCAGCCTGGCTGATGCTGTCCTTTCTGATCCTCCGCCTGTGGAGTCCATTGACACTTGGCTCCGTCCGCTTCGGAGGCGAGAGAGAGAGATTGCGCAACCTTTGCCAAAAACGAAAGGAGCTTCGGGTGTTCCAAACAGCATCGCTTGTGGACCGTCCTTGAAATTCTTGAAGTTGGTGGAGAGTGGGGTTGGGACATGTATCTTGGCAGATCGAGGGAAAATATCCTAGTCTGTCTGTCTGTCTGTCTGTCTGTCTGTCTATCTATCTATCTATCTATCTATCTATCTATCTATCTATCTATCTATCTATCTATCTATCTATCTATCTATCTATCAGATAGATTATCTATCTATCTATCTATCTATCTATCTATCTATCAGATAGATTATCTATCTATCTATCTATCTATCTATCTATCTATCTATCTATCTATCTATCTATCAGATAGATTATCTATCTATCTATCTATCTATCTATCTATCTATCTATCTATCTATCTATCTATCAGATAGATTATCTATCTATCTATCTATCTATCAGATAGATTATCTATCTATCTATCTATCTATCTATCTATCTATCTATCTATCTATCAGATAGATTATCTATCTATCTATCTATCTATCAGATAGATTATCTATCTATCTATCTATCAGATAGATTATCTATCTATCTATCTATCTATCTATCTATCTATCTATCTATCTATCTATCTATCTATCTATCTATCTATCTATCTATCTATCTATCTATCTATCTATCTATCAGTATAGTTTGTTTGTTTTTTTGTCCCGTTGTAATCATGTGTTTCTTTTCCTGGAGTTAGTGTCCGCAGCAAACTGCTGGTTTAAAGCAGCATATTCCTTTAAAAAGCCAGGCGCCCAGATTAATAGATAACGTATCGAGCGCATTCTTTTCCGATGAGTTAAGATGCGGAAAACTTGTATAAGAACTTGGGTAAATTTTAATCCGCAATGTCATATGCAGGAGAAAGTGAAATCAAACAGAGTAAAAAGGAGGTTAGTCATGGATCATTTGCAGCTGCAGGTTAGCGGTATCCCACGGTTTAAGCAGCCTGGTTCTGTCTTATGTTTGCTCTGAAATAAATATTTCCAGGGAGGTGCGTGTTTTCTAGGTGTGCAGCCTTGCACGTATGTACTCGGAAGTATCTTTTGAAATAATATTTGCCTTTATAAAATGCGGTTGTTTAAACGATAGGATGACAGACATTCAACACTCAATCTTGAAGCACCAGGACCTGATGTTGATTTGTGAGAGAAACTTTGTTTTTCCTTGTGACTCTGTCAAAAAAAAAATATGTAACTCATAGCAAGTTGGCAAGACAGTTGCAATTAGATACATTAACAATACATGCATGCATATTCAGGAAGAGAATAATTTTATCTTGGGGAAAAATAATACTCCCCATGTAAATAATATTTCTAAAGCAGATAACAATCTATTGATTGCTATAAATAACTTTTGACACATTAACTCATACCATGTAGATAAAAATACTGGGTTTTTTAGATAAAAATAAAAAAATCAGAAAATAAGGTTTTTATGATGTATTGTAATCTACAGTATAAGACTTTTTTTTAAAAAAAAACAACTTTTAAAATCTATAATTCATCTGGATTATTTTTCAGAGCTAGTAAGATTTGGTATCTTTATAAATATTTATTTACTTCATTTTTTTATCACACCTGGGAAAAGAAAAGCTCATAATATTGTCATCATGAAGCCTTCCTTCACTGTGAGCAGATTTCATGGTTTTATTGTGGAACTCTAATTTCGTGTTTTTATTGTAGAAGTCTGAAGTTCTGAAACAGGGAATTGTTACAGGATATATCTGCATGGCTATCAGATAAGGCATATCCTTTCTTCCAGTAATGTCAATTATGGGGCAGGTTTGCTTTTAGAAACAAAGCGAAGAACATTTTCAGAGGACCTAGAAGTAGGGAAATTCTTAAAAGAACTCTATTGCTACAGCATTTCCGAAGAAGTGATATTCAAACACTGACTCTCATTACTTTTATAGTAGCAGGAGATAAAGCAGGCAGCTCTGTTTTAAGAGCCTCTTGTTTTATAGGAATATCAGACAAAGAGGAATAGGTTAATTTAAGATTCCTCTCCAGTGTTATTCTTTAGTATTTGTTCTGTAGAATTGAGTTGAATTTTGAAATGGATTTCAGGAAAAGAGTGGTGGTTTTAAAAGTTGCACACCGAAACACTACTCATCCCCATGAACTCTACAACACCTTTTTGGAATTGAATCTGAAGTGCTGTTTGACTCTTTACAGCAAAACCAATTATTAAAAAAGAAGGAAAGAAAGGACCATCCTTTCCTTAGAATATCTGACTCAAGTAAGATTTGATGGAGAAAACTAAATGTGCTTCTAAGATGCGCAGAGACTGAACGTATTATACCAAGAAGGCTTTTCCCCCCTCAGATATTTTAAAATAAGACATATGTTCGTATTTAGCTTCCTATAGCTGCACAGTCTACAGTAATAATGCTAAATCTTGGCAAATGTACGGCATAAATGAAAGTGAAAATAAGTAATGGGGAACTATAGTCATTCAATTGACTTTGGGTGATACAAACCAGTTTGGTAATTTAACTGCCTAGTACTCTCGAACTCTCCTTTTGCTTTTACCCTATAAGTGTGCTTACCTAATTAACATACTCAATATATCATATTTTGTAGGGATTCTCCCAATGTTATGAGTGGGAATATACTGATATTCCCACTCATAACATTGGGAATGCAAACTAAAGTCAAAATCTTGGTCCAGTGGAGAGAGGTGTTTCACCCTTTCCCCAAAACTATTGTTCAGAATGTACTTCTTCCTAATGCTCCTGTAGTAAGATAGCAATACAGTGTCCATGTCTGCAATGACAAGCTAGATAAGTGTGTTTTAGTATGTTTTGTCTATCCAGCCCAGGTGGTCAGTTTATGATTCAGTGAGGTATGTGAAACCTGAACAGTGAATTAAGCAGGTAACCCATAAGTGAGGAAGTGGAAACCATGTAAATACAAAGCTAAATGTCTATGAAGATTTTCAGTCATCCAGGTCATGGTTGTCCCAAAGGTGCTTTTTCAAGAGGCAATTGGACTTCCTTTTTTTTTTTGAAGACCTTTTGCTTCTAATCCAAGAATCTTCTTCAGCTTCAGACGAGAAGCTTCTTGGATGAGAAGTGAAACGTCTTCAAAGTAAAACAAAGTCAAGTTGCCTCTTGAAAAAGCACTTTTGGGACATGTAAATCCAACAATCCAACATAGTTCTTTGTTCGTTTTCCCCGGAGCATTAACACTGAGTATATGTAACATGAAGCGTTACATATCAGTACTCTAGAGCCATTTCAGTAATCAAATGAGGAATTCTTAGAAATCAGAGACTGCTACGATGAGGTACAGAAAAACATTGCAACATATTGTATCTTGCTTAATTTTACAAAAACAAATCTATGGCTAAAGTTAGACATGAATCCAAGTTTCCATTTCCAGAGCTTATGTGTTTCTAATATACTATGTATCTTCAGGATCAATTACAAACTGAAGAATCTTCATGATTAGTGGGGATGTGCTTGCAGTTAAATTATATGCAGTGTAGATTGGCTAAAACTGATTGTGTAACCAGGATAATACATGTTCAGAAAAAAGATAAGGGTCCTCTTAACGTTAACTGTTTTGTTAAACTCCCCAAACTAAAATCCACTTCTTTGTTTCTTAAAGTTTGGAAAGTCCAGCTTTTCAATTATTCTAACAGTTTCAAAACAGTATGGCTATTTCTAATAATGTTAAATGAAACATCTGAAACTATATTAAATGAAAACAAAAAAAAAATGCATAGACTATTTAAAGATTGACTGAATTAATGCTGTTCAAAGTCAGTCTAATTTCAGTTTCTAAAAATTATTTTACTTCTAGCAGATGGGCTAGAAGGATATGTTTAATTTTTGGGAACTTGGACAATTATTCATTCCCTTTTTAATAATATTACTGAGGGGATATCGTTATCTTTACCGAGTACTAATATTTCTTGTTATTATACCAAGGGGTTTCTTGGTTTTCTGAGTTATTATGCATATAATACAGATTTTGCTACTATAGATTCTTGGCAGTGAATCTAGGATGGTTTGCAAATGGGGCTTTCATGCATTTTTATTCATATGGTGAAGTACCTATTTGTTTTCAGATTAGGTTTATTGATGTTGACCACCAATAGAATCAATCCTGGTATGTGCCTGGACTATACAGCCAAGTGACAAAATTTGTCTGATTAATTATACATTAGCATTTGAGGGAGGGAGGGAGGGAGAGAGAGAAATTTATTTGTGATTTCAAGTATTCTAATTTTTATTAGTCATGATCAGAAAAGATTTGGGATTTGGGGGTGTTTGTACTTATGTGGTCATATATTATTTCAGTAATAGGGATTGCATAACATGCTACTGTGATTTGCTTGATTTTATTGTTTATTACTAATTTCATTGGCATATCGGTTTTCAGTTTAATGTAGCCTAGAGATTAGCACAAAGATTCTCTACCATAAATTAAACGTTATAAAAGAAAAGAATAAAAGCAAGAATTATGCAACATCCTACCATACAACAGTAAAGGAAAATTAATTTAAAAGTCACCCCAGTAAACAAGTATGTGTTTAATTGTTAATTAAAATTTAAAATTTAATGTGGGAAGTAGCATTTTTCTTTGGAAAGAATTCCAAAATTGGGGTACCACTACTGAAAATTCAGTAACCTATGGGCCAGAAGCACTTTTGGGACCATGATCAGGACCTCTTCAGCTGAATAGAAGCGATACAAACCAAGATTGGTTGG